ATGTCATAGTATGTACTAGTACGTATATTGCGTACATTAGGAATGGGCTCTCAAGCAATCACATTGAGAGTAAATACAGTGTGTATTGGAACTGTTTATAACAATTTATACATATAAATTGTGTCAAACGTTTACAGAACAAACTAGTAGCTTTCCTATGCACTGCAAATTATCAACAATTAGAGTTAGGCAACGCTGTTAAGATGACAGACTGATCAGGAAACATTTTGCACCGGTAATCGTTTTTTTCTGCAAATAAAATAGCACCGTACCATTACAAGACCCATTTTACTCACATGGCAAACACACTAAAACACGCTCGGTATAACAATTCTAAGACGCCAGCTGTCTGTCTGTCACTTATACACTGACTATCGATAAGATCAGCCTAATTCAATAATATTTCTAACCAAGTCTGTTTCATACTCAAAGTAGAGATGCAGTTTACCTGACATGTATTTTAATTAGATAATTAGGAAACCAAGATGACCTCCCTTGTCCACGAAACTATATATTTTCGGAAAGCTTATTGTATGAATTTTAAAATTTTGTTAGTATTTTTTATGGACACTGTAGTTTAAAATATGCACAAAAATGTGTTTTTTGGTCAAAAGTGATTTAAAATAATTAGCTTCTAAACCATGCTTCTGTTTCCTGTCAAAATTGGTTTATGGATACATCTGTTTACTATGAAGAAAGTACCGTCTTGAAAACTGTCTACCAATTGTCAATTTTGCAGGGCAGCAGCTCAAATTTCACTACTTCACGTTTATGCATAAATTAACACCCAGGCTAGTTGTCTGTACGATTGTTGTAACACTGTTCAACCAAAAACAATGCCCCGGCGGCGTTTTGAAGATAAACACATTGTCAATCATTCGTGAAAATTTCAAAACAAAAGGTCAAAGCGTCTAGGAGCTATTTTTTTTAAATTTCTGAGATGTGTACTAAAAAGAAGCTGAGATAATTGCTAATTTGCATAACAATTCACTCGGTAAGAAGTTTGCCAATGCTCATAATTAAAATGGTTGTAACAACTCCAAATTTAAATGTATTATCGTTTTGTTAAAAGTTAAATATAGTGCATAATATGGAGATCCCGTCATTTCTTTTTTTCACCATGTTTCTTTCTTATTATTTATGTACAGCCTTGCTAAATCTTGCTAAGCATTCAAAGGAGATAATGTTTGCACCTGTTATCTATATTTTAAAATCGTTTTTTTTGAGTATGTTCCACTATTCATAATTCTACAAAATTTTAACAGTCTTATAGCCAAAAAAAAATCACTCCTAAGTGCCCACGAACCTGCATCTTACTGAAGATATATTGTAATATCAAAAAC